GAACATCTGTTCCAGCCAATATAGCTCGGTTGGGTCATCACGATAGGCAAGCCCGACCACCGCGTCAAGGTAGCAGCTTCGATCGGGGATAAAAATATACGCACAGTATTGGTCTATCAGTAGATCCCAAAAGTTAGCATTCACTATTCTTGTCGGGACATAACAATTCTTAAATAAATTCATACATGTAATCATCTTCATCTCATCAAAACAAACGTTTGAAAGGAATTTTAAACGATCATCTTGTTGTTTTAATAACATTTTTAAGTGTTATTTTATGCTTGTAACTTATTTACAATATCTAACTTTAAGTGATCGGTTGAGAACGTTTATCTTAATTCTTACTATCCGATTATTTTCAAAGTTACACATTCATTTTCATTTCTTTAGCCTTAAATAATTATTCACAATAACTCATTGATTTTTAAGACAAAGAATTCCACTTTCGTTTCGCACCCCTGTTTTTTTCTTATTCTTTCATAATCGTTTGTAATGACCAACTCAGTGACCAATCATTGTATTGTAGTTTGCCGTCGAGTCGTTGTTGAATATGATCATCACTACAAGAAGGTTGGGTACCAGATATCAGAAGGCGATTGGAGGTTGTAGCGAGATATATTTGTTGGCGATCTCGTGGTATCGAAAGAATACCGAGATTGTGCCAAAGGATTACAAGCGGAATCACTGAGCAAACGTAAATGCGTGCAAGGTCACAATCAACGGAAGGAAGAATGTTTTTAGTACAGTTAAACAAACAAGTACAGTAAAACAATCACTGGTACAATTGGTTATAATAATAACTGTTTCCATTAAACCAGTCGCCTTTTCTTTATAAAAGTAGGTCACTACAGTATTCTACCAATGATTTTTATGGATGACAGAATATATATAAATACTATCCATTAGGTACATTATCATTTAATTGGTAATGATTAGTGAAAGTTGACTGGTGAAATTCAGACATGTCGGAAGTAATTCAGTTGCACTGGATGATTGTCTTACTATATCGTAAATTGATTTGAGTTGAAACTTTATTATTGGGCACCGAACTAGCAGTTTTATTGATTAGGCGTTCACGTTGAAGCCTTAGAAGTTTTGCATTCGATACCTGATGGGATCAAGTGAATGAACTGTTGAGAAGTTGCATAATAGGACGAAAAACTTTTCCATTTCTGTTCAATATCTGTGACTGAGATTAATCTGTTGCGAATAAAACCTACAAACTAATTTTTTGAAGTCGACCATTACATACTGATGTGAAGTTATAATGAGGAACTAATTAAAAGGATAAAATTGCTTCATTCAGTTTATGTTTTCAACTATTTAAATGCAACGATTCAAACTGTGATCATAATGCAATTATAAATTATTAAAAGTACTTGACATTGTATTACTATTCTAATGTGTTTACAAATTTTTATTAGCTTCCTTTGAATTTTAGACTAATTTTTCTCTTCTATCATTTTTGATGTCATCACTTTTCTACGTTTGAACTCTTTGAATGTAACTAAAAACCTTTTAATATTACTTACTTACTTACTTACGCCACTGACCAGCATTCTCCAACCCACTCTCTCCTGGGCCTTCTTTTCTAGTTCCATCCAATTCTTGTTCATCTTTTTCATGTCTATTTTCATTTCTCGGCGTAATGTGTTCTTTGGTCTTCCTCTTTTCCTTTGGCCTTTTAATATAGTTAGTATGCTATAGGATGATTGCATTCCTATCTTGACTTTGTGTACATTTTAACTGAATAACTCTCAATATGTTAATTGGTCAATAGTGTAAGAAACCGAAACGAAATATGTTAGAAATAAATTCACTTGGTGTTGTTTTACTTGTATCATCCCATTGTTATTTAGGAGTGGAATTGATCAGTCTCATGTTGGTATATGTGCATCCTGTGCGGATTGCGAATGAAACATGCGTCCTGCATTTCACTGCTGGTCACTACTCATTTTTACTTAAAAAACTTGTAACTTAAGGCTATATCGAGGCAATCCGCGCAGGATGAACATGTACCAACAAGAGACTGATCAGTTACAATCCTAAACAACAATGGGAATATACAAGTAAAACAACATCAAGTGAATTTAAGCTTCACCCTAATACACAAGTAGGTAGCTATCAGGACTTAGTAGCTAAGCAGATAACGCGATGGCGTTTGAAGTGAATGGTATTGCGTTCGAGTCACGGAGTGAACATTAACTCTGGGATGCAGGTACATTCGGCTGACGAGCCCCGAATAGGATGAAACGCGAGTCAAACTGGATTTCACTGCTAGCCACTATCCGTCTTTGCTTAAAAAGCTTATGTTAGAAATAGTTTACTTCCAAAATTAAATTCAAATGATACGAACAGTAAACACAACAGTTAGTGTAATAATAAATATCGTTTAATTAGTCAATATATACATAGAAGAGAATCAATCATCAAGCGTTCTAAGTAAAACAGTGTTTCAGCGGATCAGCGAAATAAAAGTGTAGCTTAAAATAATTACCTTTGATTATACAAATACTTTTCTACGGTCGTCATCCCTTAAACTATGAGATTAAAATCGCTTCATATATTTATTTCTACGAACTAATTCTTTCTTCCTGTACTATATCCTTATTACAATCTTTCTTTTATATAATGCTACCATTGAATTAACTACTTTTATGAATCCGATGTTTATCTTATTGTGCTAATCAGGTGTAGCAACTTGGATCGATTTATATACGTGCCTGGTCCTACATTGTAGCTGACTGACTGAAGAACTGATTACAGGCGTGGATATACAAATCAGAAGCATAGATTGAATTACTATAAGCTATAATTACAACTCATCTAACAAGATAGTATTCGAAGACTTCACTAATTCAAGTGTGTAAATACTTGAAAATTGTTTCCATATAATTGATAATTTTAGCCACTATTCATTGGTGAATAATATTTAATCAATATATTAACTTGAACAAATTAATTGACCAATCAAATATCATCTAACTTCTGTGTTAATATTTATTTGAAATAGCACTATCTGTTTTATGTTAAAAGTTACATAGTTACAACAAAAAAAAGAAACAAGTAAGTTCATTTTATTTTGTTCCCGGTTTAATACATGAAAGTACATGAAGATAATTTACCCAATAATAGTTGTACGTAATTATATTATATAACTTACTTACTTACGCCTGTTACTCCTCGTGAAGGAGCATAGACCGCTCACTAGCATTCTCCATCCAACCCTGTCCTGGGCAATCCCTTCCAGATCCTTCCAGTTCTTATTCATCCTTTTCATATCTGCTTCTATTATCCGACGCAATGTGTTCTTTGGCCTTCCTCTTTTCCGCTTCCCTTCAGGATTCCAAGTTAGAGCTTGCCTCGTGATGCAGTTTGACGATTTGCGTAATGTATGTCCTATCCATTTCCATCGTCTTTTCCTAATTTCCTCTTCAGCTGGAAGTTGGTTTGTTCTCTCCCACAGAAGGCTATTGCTGATGGTATCCGGCCAATGGATGTTGAGTATCTTGCGTAGACAGCTATTTATAAATACTTGTACATTGCTGATTGTGGTTGTTGTAGTTCTCCAAGTTTCAGCTCCGCACAGTAGAACTGCTTTGACGTTGGTATTGAATATTCTCACTTTGATACTAGATGACAGTTGTTTTGAGTTCCATATGTTCTTCAATCGAAGAAATGCGGCCCTTGCTTTGGCAATCCTCGCCTTTTTGTCTGCATCTGACCCTCCTTGTTCATCGATGATGCTTCCCAGGTATGTGAAGGATTCTACATCTTCCAGAGTTTAGCCATCAAGAGTGATTGGATTGCTGTTCTCCGTTTTGAATTTGAGAACCTTGATTTTCCCCTTGTGTATGTTGAGGCCTACTGATGCATAGATCGCTGTTACACTGGCTGTCTTTACCTGCATTTGTTCGTGTGTATGGGATAGGAAGGCTAGGTGATCTGCGAAGTCCGAATCGTCTAATTGGTTCTGAGCTGTTTATTGTATGCCGTGTTTTCCCTCAGATGTCGAGGTCTTCATAATCCAGTCTACTACCAAAAGAAAGAGGAAAGGAGAGAGTAGACAGCCTTGTTTGACTCCGGTTTTTACTTGGAATGCATCTGTCAGCTGTCCTCCATGCACTACTTTGCACTGTAGTCCGTCGTATAAGTTCCGGATAATGTTAACAATCTTCTCAGGAATTCCGTAGCGTCGAAGACGTTTCCATAACGTTCTCCTATCTACACTGTCAAATGTCTTTTCATAATTAATGAAGTTGATGTATAATGACGAGTTCCACTCAACTGATTGTTTGACGATGATCCGTAGTGTCGCAATTTGGCTAATAATATTTAATCAATATATTAACTTGAACAAATTAATTGACCAATCAAATATCATCTAACTTCTGTGTTAATATTTATGTGAAATAGCACTATCTGTTTTATGTTAAAACTTACATAGTTACAACAAAAAAAAAGAAACAAGTAAGTTCATTTTATTTTGTTCCCGGTTTAAATGAGATTTACAAAAAAAATTATTTATTGAGTAATAATAATATACATGAAAGTACATGAAGATAATTTACCCAATTATAGTTCTATATAATTATTATTATATAACTTATTTAGATAATCATTCAAACGTAATTAATTGTTTATTATTGAATCAAATAATTGATAATGATTGATATATAAACGAAAAAAATCGAATTTTAATTTATATACCAGGACGAAACGGCCGTCCAGTGCTTCCAGGTTTTCAATGGTGGTCTAGCTTCAACTGACTCATGATTTCAAACTGTGAAATTTCTAAAATTCTCCACAAAACCCATTCTGATTATATATAATACATGATATCTTACTATAATAGTTCACATTGTTTATGATCATACACCATTTAACTTTGTCCTCTACTTTCATATCCAATTGTTTTCATTCACTGTATATTCTTTAAATGTCTATTTTCAATTCTCAACGTAAGATGTTATTTTAGTCTTCCTGTTTTTCATTTCTTCTAAAGATTTTAAGTTAACGATGATCTTGTAATGTAGTTTGATGATTTCTTCCATGTATGTCCTCGTTATTTCCATCATCTTTAATAAACATGATATAACATCTTACTATGGGCGGCCTGCTTGAGCATCTGGGCTACCTGTTCCTGCCGTCTAGATATTTCAACAAGTTATCTATTTTTATTTGTTTTAATATATTATTATGTCTATTAATCGCATGATGTATTCTGCTGCGTTTCTGAAAAGTGTACAACCTTTCGTTGTCAAAGTTACAAAAAACTCAATAAGTGAGAATGTGGTTGCTGGCAATATACAACGAAAAGAATGCACATCATTCAGATGTTCATTTACTGGACTGCTAGCATCTAACTGTCGGTCACTCAATATTTATCTCCAGGACCGACCAAGAAGAAAGAAACGGAAATTTGTTGAAATACTTTGAGCTGAGAATTCTATATTGTACCAAAAATATAATATTGAATAAAGCTGATGATCATAAAAACATCAATTCAAAAATTTATGGTCTATTGGTAGGTGAAAATTACTTGGTTGAGATTGATGAGATTATTGTAATTAGTGATTAGAGATATTGGATGATAAGGCTCATAATTGATCATAAAGGATCTAATAAATTCACTCTATCTCTTCTCCTAGAACTTAAGTTTTAAAATGATCTTTTCATTCAGTGAACTTATATCTTTTCCAACCATACTGTTTATGCCTAGAATTTTCTACTATCACTACTAATTTTATTACTATGGTATTTATCTTAATAATTCTATCTTATTATGCCGATATGATAATGATAACATTGACTAATGTATTTATATGCCAAGTTTTCCGTTGATATTGATACAAAATTACTTTTGTTTTAAAAATGTAATTTCTATGTTATTTTTAGTTTTATAATATGAAATATGAAATTTAGTATCTAATGAAAATATATTGAAATTCCTTACAATTGATACAAACATCCACATTCATACAACTTGATTCTAGTCGGTTAAGCGCCTAGCGCGAGACTGATAGGTCCTGGTTTCGAATCTCGCAGGGTGCGGGATCGTAGATACGCATTGCTAAGGAGTCCCATACTAGGATGAAACGGCCGTCCAGTGCTTCCAGGTTTTCCATGATGGTCTAGCTTCAATTGATTCATGATTTCAATCAGTGAAATTTCTAAAACTCTCCACAAAACCCCTTCTGATCATTTTATTTAATCAATTATTTATTATCATTATTGATTTTATTTTATTTTATTTCTTTTAAAGTATTATGAATAATAATTGGAAGAGACCAGATTTACCAAGTAAATGTACATTTTCTTCAAAACAATCAATCATTGAAAGTCCTCATCATCATCATCATCACCATCTTCATCAGGATCATCATCATCATGATAATTCAATGTATGTTTTTCTAAAAATCAATTGATATTCTAAAGACAATTCAATTAATTAATTTAGTTTCAAAAGAAATAAAATTTTAAATCATTCATTAGAATTAATTGGTAATACACCTTTAATTCAACTAAATCAAATTGTAAAGAATGAAGGTCTAGAATGTGAACTATGTAAGTGATAGAATATAGAAATTTTGTAAAGAAAAAATATCTTACTATTTTATAGTAGGAAAATGTGAATTTCTTAATATTGGTGGTAGTATTAAAGATAGAATTGCAAAACGTATGATTGAAGAAGCTGAATTAGAAGGTAAATTAAAACCTGGGGATACAATTATTGAACCAACTTCGGGAAATACTGGTATGTCTTTCTTTTTTCTTTTTTTTTAAAAGTTTGTTTATTCTATTACAGAAATGTATATATGAAATCATACACTTCGAATGCCGGTTCAATAGTCTAGTAGGTTAAGTGTTCGCGCGCGAGATTGAACGCCATGGGTTCGAATCCCATGAGCGGAATCGTGGTTGTGCACTGCTGAAGAGTTTAAAAATAGGACGAAACGGCCGTCCAGCGCTTCTAGGTTTTAAACGGTGGTCTAACATCAATCGGTTCATGATCTCAATCAGAAACTTAGAATTTTATTAAGTAATGTCTGTATTTATTATTATTATTTGTAAATAGGCACAAAACGAAAGTTTTAAAGATTCATACTAATAAGAGCTCGAAGAAAGCTGTGACCATTAAAAAGCGTATGTTAGCAGAGTTAAGTATTGAACGAGGGAATAAAATTTTTAAACTTGAAATTTAGTTGGTTTACTATCGATTCCTTTGCTTCTATGATCAATTGGAAATGCAGTTCTTTAAATGTTGAATAAAGAGTTCACTTTCAATCGATACTGTAACTAAATAATATATTTGTAATATCCCAATGAGTAGAAAAAATGGATTTTCTGATGTTTCGTAACTTAGTGTAAGCCACTTCTTCAGAGGATAAATAACCCTTAAAAGTTTTCTATGTGAATTGAAATTCAATCCTTTCTCTATCAGACTGATTTCATGATTGGTTAAGTTTCTATCTGAGAGATTATGAACAATTCTTATTAGATTTTATTGCTGAAGTTTTCATATCTTTCTTCCTTTCTTTCTTCGATCCTTTCAAATTTTTTGATTTGACGGCGTTTTGATGAATCTAAATAATGGCGTTCTCTTCCCATAAACAGGTTAGAAATTGTAGTTTGTAATTCTGCATGATCATCTAGGTCTTTGAATCGTTCACGATATTTTTCAAGTAAATATGTGCATTTGTGAATGCGTTCTCGTAAAAATATTCGAGATGAGAGTTGTAAACTTCGTTTATTAAATATCCTGTTATTGTACCAATTCCATTTACACTTGGATAATTTGATCCGGTTATTAATGGGTTTGTTACTTATTCTCTGAAGGAATGGCTTACACTAAGTCACGAAACGTCAGGGAATCTAACTTTTCTACTCATTGGGATATTACAAATATATTATTTATTTATAACTATCTACCCAATGTTCAATTTATTCGAAATTATCAAGTCAAACCGTGATAATAATACCTAAAAAATACTGTAATGGTCCGGATCAAGTAACAATTGATCAGTACACAATTTGGGGCCCAATGATAAAGCTTGCATTAAGATTTATGAGAGGGAGATAGAAGAGTGATCAAATATATGTTTTTCTAGGATTTCAAGGAAACTCTTGCTTTATTTCTACTGGTTTAAAAGTTTTTAAATACTTAAGTTTAACTTTGTGTGATTATTGTTCAGTGACATGAAAAATTCCGTAATTGTTTGCGCTCACCTGAGAAAAGCACAGTATTAGCAAAACACTTGGAGACCAGGCGAAAATACAGTTCAGATGGGAGAACGTACCGAGTGATGTAAATGGACGATTGAAGGCTGTGTATATCCATTGTATAGATACTTTGTAACTTTTTACAACAAACGTACAATACACCTGCCTATTGTCTTGTTTTACAGTGGTACCTGCTTCCATAGTCAAACTTATCATTACAAATACAATTAACTATCATCCCATAGAAAATATTCATAATCATATCTACTCTCCACAATTATTATCAACATCAAATATTGGAGTAGTTATAGTGAATATACATATTTGATTACTTATTACTAATTTTAAATAGGTATTGGATTGGCGCTTACTGCTTCTCTTAAAGGTTACCGATGTATAATTGTAATGTCAGAGAAAATGAGTAGTGAAAAGGTAAACTATCGTAGTTTTCTTTTGGTGATTTTGCACTTTTGTTTAATTATTGTGTTGTCATAATCAAGAATTACTGGCCTCATGAAGTAAAATTACATTTTGAGTATGAACCAACTAGTTCACATTTGTAACTCAATTGTACACCTATTGATATATGTAAGTTAATTGGGTTATGAATAGGTGTTAGTACGTATTAGAAGAAAATCTTTCCAAAATTTCTATACTAAACTGTTTAATGAAAAATATCAAAAGAATTTGAATAGTCATACGACTTGTAGGATTAATACAGTCTAGTCTGAATTAACTGATGTTATTTGTGTGAAGATCATGTCATTAAATGAATGAATTGAAGTTAATTTTATAAAACACTGAATTCTATCTCAGTAGCTTAAATATTTCGTGATCAAAAAGTTTCTCAAAAGTTATAGGTTTATTTTTGTGTATAACATGAGTACGTATTATTATAGAGTCATGAAAACAGTTTGGCATTAGTGTAAGTGACTAGACATCCAGTGCATTATGTTTAAATGTTAGATATTTGAAAGTGATTGCTAGGTATACCTTGTAACTAGGTTTCTTTCTTGTTGATTTTTTCTATGTAACCACAGAGTATGTAATGTTAAGCCACTTTGACAAGATGCCAAATTTGGACTTGACCGATAGGATTTGATTACTTCTAGGATATAGAGCAAACATAAGATTGGTCACCACTTAATGATCAACCAGTGAGGCATCTATGAAGTACTCTATGGTCGTCAATATTTCCTTATTTCAGGATAGTTAGTGAAGTATATTACCTTCAGATTTCTATATATTCAATCTTATTATTTAGATCTGATGAAGCCGAATTAGTTCACGTTTAAAAATTTCTATTATTCTCATAAGTTATCTGATAGTTATACAACACATTAACTGAAGGTGATTATATGCTCATTTAGCAAACTATTTCGTTCTTTATTATGATCAAATGAATCAGTATTGAAATATACCGTTTTTACTGTTCTATTCTTATAAAGGAATCGTACTTAAGATGCCTTGGAGCTGAAATTGTTCGTACACCGGCTTCTGCAAATTTTGATCATCCTGATTCATTGTTTCGAGTGTCAGAAAAAATAAAAAATGAAATTGGTCCATCTGCACATATCATGAATCAATATACAAATCCATATAATCCAATAGCTCATTTTGATGAAACAGCTGAAGAAATTCTTCGTGATTGTACAGAAGAAAATGGACAAATGAAATTGGATATGCTAGTAGTTGGTGTTGGAACTGGTGGTACAATAACTGGAATATCAAGGAAAATAAAAATGAAAGTGCCTAATTGTTTAGTAAGTTTATTTTGAACATCAATCTGTTCTTAATCTCACACATAAAATTCACTTTGGTTGATCGATTTTGAGATTTTACAAATCAATGAAACTATAAAATGATGATACTGTCGATTATATGATATGAGTCTTAATCATTAAGAAGGCATTCATTCCTAGATTCAATATGCCCTTTCATAAAGGGCACTAAGCAGGATGGAATCTAGATCTATAACTTAGTACAGACTGCCTACATGTAAGTAAGATAAAAAAACGAGACGAAGAATGATATAACGTTCTTTAAAATTGTGGCTACAGCACAACTCGACCAGTTAATACAGCTAGGTGGTATGACAGTGGTTACTCCCAAGTGCTCAAATAGTGTTAATACTACGGTTCTACAGAAGGTCATTTGTAATCGGAGTAGCTCTGTGTTAATGCCCTGAATTGTGGAACTGACTGACGCCAGTTTAAATCCCATATACAGAATCAAGACTGAAAAGCATGTCCTACTGATCAGGGCCAATAAGAACAAAAGACCGGTCCAGACTTTATTACTGACTATCTTTAACCTTCAAACGTCTTGATAGTTAGTTGAATTTTTGATAGAATAGTTTGTCATGAGAATCTATTAATTACAGTGAACAGTTGGATCATAGTGACTAGTGAGTAGTATATATATATATAGTATATTGTACAATATCAATCGGAGTTTGATTATTAGTTAGCATTAGAGAAATAATTTACCACTATCACAGTTATTCTCTTTTCATATTAGACAGTAGTTAATCATGTGTCTTACAATAGATGTAGTCATATATTGCATATGTACACTCAAAAAAATACACCAACAACCTTTTAATAGTTCAGTTCAAACAAGATTTACTAGAACATACCTCTGAGTGATTATTTTATTCGCTCATGAGTTAAAATCTGCTAACTTCAGTAGAAATACTCACTTATACAAATCATCACACCGTAAGTTTCTGACATACCTATAATTTTCAGTTGGATTGTTAGGGCCAAGAATAGTGCCAATACAATGCTCGTTAGATATATAGTAAGAAGTTGAAAGTTTCTTAGTTAGTCAGTTGATAGAGATTAATTAAGGAAACCGTTTCAAGTTGTTAGCACAAGACATGTATTTCATCTTAATTTCATTTTCTAAAACAGTATCCATCCATAATTGTACTAAGAATTAAGTAAAAAATCTTCAAATCTAATTTCATGTTGACTAGTAATTCCACAACATTGATTTTGGTTTCTTTAACATTTCAAGTTATTCACTGGGTTCACTTGTTTTTATTGAACTGTTGAGCTTTCTTATGATGCCTTTTTTTGTAAAAGCCTAACTTTACCACATATTATAGATTGTTGGAGTAGATCCAATTGGTTCAATTCTAGCCAATCCAGAATGTCAAGAAACAACTCCATACGATGTTGAAGGTATTGGATATGATTTTTTCCCTACTGTCTTGGATACAAATGGAATTGATAAATGGTGTAAAACAGGTGATCATGAATCTTTTGAAATGGCCAGGCGACTTATACATGAAGAAGGTTTACCATGTGGTATGTTAGACGTTTGCATTTGATCATTTATGGATTTATTATGTTTTTTTTTTTTGGTTTTGATGTATTTGAAACACTTTGTATTCTTCATTCCGATAACTCTCTGACTAATACATTTCAATTTACATCACCTGAGAATTAGAATAAACCAGAAAGCAACGTATGTATCTAGACAACAGTCAGAATAAATGACATGAAATGAAAATTAATTTTTTCATGCAAGACATTCTAGATTGCACGAGGTTAACTGGCAGAATAATGTCACTATCTATTGAAATTATCCGTGAGTCCTAAAATGAACAAATCAGCTTGCCTGAATCATTTTCTTATTAAATATATGAAACTGATTTGTTAGAAGTTAGTTCCTAAGCCAACTCTAAATCTAAAATATGGGTAATAAGATAGTCTGAAAATAAATAGGAGAGTCTTTCGTCTTGGAGGTATGCAAAAGTTATGTCTTTTGATTAGGTCAATAGGCGTAAGAGATGATAACGTGAGAGTCGCTGGAATGAATCACACTGTAACAGATCGTTTTTATAATCGGTTATCACTTGTTCACTTAATAACATTTTACACTCAGACCTTTTTGTTTCCAAAATCTGATTAACAGGTATACGTAGTTGTTTTTCGTATTTAATGTCCTAATTGAATAATTCTAGTGGTCTGTTACAACACAAATGTATTTTGTATATCACTACTCATGATTTCAATTTTGACAGAGTTCATTTATCCAAGTTAATAGACCGTATACCGTACTTCTAGATTCGATGAAACCAAAGATTTTCTTTTATTGTTTTCGTACTAACACTCTCGTTAGTAAACAAAAAGTTAGTGAAATTTCAGGTTTATCATTTCAGCATCCCTATTTAAATTTTGATAAAGTTATGTTCTGTGACCTGTGTAGTTTATCAATCAAGTTTCCATTATCCTTCTAGACAATATAATGAGTATAAACTTCAGACATAAGTGAACTATAAGAATTTCTTCACTACTGACAAACAGCTTGTTTTGTTTACATGAAACTGAATGATAATGTATTTGAATTTACAGTTTAGTGATGAAACTCATTTTCAAATAAATGATTAGATTGTGAAATAATTACTCATTGAAGACAATAGTGGATGATGGAGCAATTCGTGGATTGGTTGAAGTTAGATACTAACACTGTTGAATGTCAGCTTAGTGGTCTATAGCTTAAGAGTTAGTGCACAAGGCCGATAAGTCCCGGATTCAAATCTTGCGGGGTGGGACCGCGGATGCGCACTAAGATATAACAGCCGGTCAGGTTCTCCACGGTGCTCTAGCTTTAATTAACTCATTAATTCTACTATTAAATCATTATAATATTTACAAAACCTCTCTCTGATTAAAATAATTAGATATAAATATTTATGACATGATTACAAAATTATAAACATCTACATTCATATATATGAAGTTTGGTTATTTATATCTCATGGTTATTTAATATAAACACTTTGATTTATTCTAATTCATAGAAACAACATTTAAGTTCACATTATGTGACAAATAACAAACCAAATATATGTTTTACGGCTGATTATTATTATTATTCTAAGACCGGAAAAAGTGTTGTTTGAATGTTGTTTGAATAAATAAGTCGGAAGTCGTGTTGATTAGTTGTGATAAACTAATCAAATAAATTATACAAATAACAACTAGTCATCACGGTTAATTAATATATAAATGATGATTATACTAGTATAGGGGTTGTGGAGATTATTAAGTTTTTGATTGAGATCATGAACCGATTAATGTTAGACCATCACAATTGAAAACCTGGAAGCACTGGACGGCCGTTTCGTCCTATTGTGGGACTCCTCAGCAGTGCGCATCCACGATCCCGCGAGCGGGATTCGAACCCAGGGCCTTCGGTCTCGCGCGCGAACGCTTAACCAACTGGACCACTGAGCCGGCATCCAATGGTGATAGTTTCTAACATCAACCAATCCACGAAATTGCGCGACCAACTTCCATTGTACTGAGGTAGATACCTGTCTCTACCCGACAAGGATTAGCTCCACTGATCACGGCTTCTCACTAGAACTCCGAGAATTCCCTCACGAAGCTAGTCACTAGTGAGCACATGTTAATTACTAGTATAGGGGTTGTGGAGATTATTAAGTTTTTGATTGAGATCATGAACCGATTAATGTTAGACCATCACAATTGAAAACCTGGAAGCACTGGACGGCCGTTTCGTCCTATTGTGGGACTCCTCAGCAGTGCGCATCCACGATCCCGCGAGCGGGATTCGAACCCAGGGCCTTCGGTCTCGCGCGCGAACGCTTAACCAACTGGACCACTGAGCCGGCATCCAATGGTGATAGTTTCTAACATCAACCAGTTGGCTAAGCGTTCGCGCGCGAGACCGAAGGCCCTGGGTTCGAATCCCGCTCGCGGGATCGTGGATGCGCACTGCTGAGGAGTCCCACAATAGGACGAAACGGCCGTCCAGTGCTTCCAGGTTTTCAATTGTGATGGTCTAACATTAATCGGTTCATGATCTCAATCAAAAACTTAATAATCTCCACAACCCCTATACTAGTAATTAACATGTGCTCACTAGTGACTAGCTTCGTGAGGGAATTCTCGGAGTTCTAGTGAGAAGCCGTGATCAGTGGAGCTAATCCTTGTCGGGTAGAGACAGGTATCTACCTCAGTACAATGGAAGTTGGTCGCGCAATTTCGTGGATTGGTTGATGATTATACTAATTTGACGAATATTAGTTGGTGGAGTTTTGTTCTCTGAGCTGGATGGTTTGGTCGTGGAGCTTTCATCGTTCTTCTGAACGACATCATCAGCACAAACTTCAGATAGAAGTGAAGTGTTCGAATTTCTACATATGTGTTTCACAGCTTGTTCTGTGCACATCGATGTTGATTGGTTTTTATTGACCTTAAGCTGTGAAACACATATGTAGAAATTCGAACACTTCACTTCTATCTGAAGTTTGTGCTGATGATGTCGTTCAGAAGAACGATGAAAGCTCCACGACCAAACCATCCAGCTCAGAGAACAAAACTCCACCAAAATCATCCACCTGAGCTACAAATCTTCTCCACCATCACGAATATTAGTCGAAAACTATGACTATTATTATTGTTATTATTAAAAGTTGTTGACATAGACTATGGTAACTAAATACTTCAGGATAGTTGATTTTTACATGCATAAGATTGCTTTCTAAGTACTGTCGCTGGCAAAATTACTTTGCAAAGATATTTAACCCATTGAACATCTTGTCAATAACTGTTTTATGAAAGAAAGAAAGAAAGCTAAGATTTAACCAATTAAGCCTTTTCAGCTTTTAATTCTGGGAGATCCACAGATTTTTTTTTCACTTCCACAGTTGTATTTCAATGTCATACATGAATAGTTCAACCACCAATCACAACTATCTACATTATAATTATATGTTCGGAATATTTATTTGATAAGTCTAAATAATGTTAATGTAATCACTAAATACAATTCTGATTAACATTTTTTATCTGATCCAATTCTGTTATGGAAAACGTTCTTAAGCCAAACTATTTAGTTAACTAATTCATAAGGCTCTTACAAGCAAGTTAAATAAACCTGAGCGAAGATAGCCAGTGTAGCAGTAGCATCTTCAGCATTGGACCTCAATTTACACAGTGGAAAAAGCAAAATTCTGAAATACAACACAACGAGCATCAACCCAATTACACTAGACGGAGAAACTCTGGAAGATGTGGAAACTTTCACGTACCTGAGTGGTCAGCAACATCGATGAATATGGAGAATCCTATGCAGATGTGAGGGCAAGGATTGGCAAAGCAAGAATAGCATTCCTACATTTGAAGAACATATGGAACTGAAAACAACTGTTTCCAAGTGAACATCTAAATCAGGATCTTCAATACGTACGTTAAGACAGTTATTTCTACTGTACGGAGCTGAAACTTGGAGAACAACCATAACCATCATCAGAAAAGTACAAGTATTTCTAAACAAATTTCTACGTAAGATAATGAATATCCCTTGTCCGGATACTATCAACAACAGCCTACTATGGGAAGGAACGAACCAACTTTCATCAGAATGTGAAATTAGGCGGCTGAGAGGTTGATATGACATAGATTACTGAAATCATCAAACTGCATCACAATGTAATACATAACTTGGATTCCTGAAGGTAAAAGGAAAAGCGAAAGACCACAAAATACATTATATAGAGCATTGAAGGCAGATATTAAAAGAATAAATAGCACTTGGAAAAGACTGGAAAGGAGAGCGGAGGATAGAGTTAGCTGGAGAATCTTTGTTGGAGATCTATTCACATTCACGAGGGATAACACGCGTTAGTAAATAAGTGAGTGAAAGCTTATTGAATCCAAAGAAATTAATGGATGGTATGAAGGTCAGTAGATGTAAAAGCTGAATAAATATTTCAACTAACTTTAATGAGTTGGCTGGCTATTTGGTTTGTACAGCAGACATTATACAGGAAACTTCCCTTGGTTGTTTTACAAATTTTATCAAACTGTTTGATAACCATAGTTAATAACTCAGTTAGATGTTCATATTCACTGCTTCCACTTTTTTCCTTGTTCACATTTGAATTTTCACTTTTTGTCGTTGGATGGTTCAGGTAGCTTTTAAGTGTGCCGATCCATATTTACTCCACTGATATATACCAACTTCTAGAAAAGAAGCAACAATAAGTTGTAGATTCATTACATTCTAGAAATATTGCACTGTTTAAACTAGAATGAATCGAAATTCACTCTGTCGCGCAACCCAGTGGCTGTTTGAACTAATTAGTTAACAGATGACGCATTTAGTGTTTGAGGCGAAAACTACTGAAGTTGAGTCCCAATGTGACTATCAACATTGGGGTACAGGTACATCCAGCTGACGAGTTCCAAACAAGACAAAATCTAGTAACATACTTGCTATTCATTATATATTTGTAAAATATTTGAAATCTTTGTTCGATACATTTTTTTAGTATAATTTGACCAAATGTAGTCGCCGTTTCCTACTAGTTGGCATTGTTTAGCCAGAAATATCTACAATATTCAGATAACTGACTCATTCTCTGTGTAGTTCAAAGCTTCATCTCTCACCTTTACAGTTTGGGACGTTACCACTGATCTATCTGAATGAACAAATGGTTTAAGTCGACGGTTTCCTAGCAACTACTTCTAACTACCTAGCACTAAAATGTATAGTTCAAGTTAATGTCTAGTTATCTGTTAACCATATTGCAACTTGATCAGTAGAATTCAACCAGTACTAGATACTAGATAAACATGATATCGGTTATTACTTAGTCATAAACCACGATGTACTTATTATTACGAAATGTTTTATCGAATTCCTTTCTGTCATAAATTTTTTTCACAAAGGTGGCAGTTCTGGTGCTGCTGTAGCTGGTGCTATCAGAACTATCAAAGAATTGGGTTTAGGAAAAAACAGTCGAATCGTGGTTATTCTACCCGATAACGTACGCAATTACATGTAAGATAAGCTTTAAAGCTTATTTCATTTCATTTGTTCTCTTCTATTCATTTTCATTCTTTACTGAATGTTTATTTTCCCCTTATGATATATAAGCATAATGTGGCTAAAAGGTTTGAATTTCATTTAAAAACAGCTCATGCTTTATATACTCTCCAGGTAAACATTTATGCAGGTTAAAATTTCATATGTTACATTTGGGCGTCAATAATATCTCTGGTTGGGATTATAATGTAAGTCCACTAACATAAGATATATGTCCACGGTAATTTGCAGGTATTTTTCAGTTGGACATCCTGTCTTCTGGTGGATTCTGAGACTGCAATGTATTTCCTTTGTGCGTTCGATCTAAGAAAAACGATTATTTTAGAAAAAAAAAGAAACGGTTCATTGTTGTTATTGTTTCAAAATTATTAACATTATACCGCCTTGGTGTAATAAGGATATGATACTTGAAATACATAATCTGTCTTTTATTTTTGTTGGTTTTATGAGCGGACGTGTAAATTAAAGACAATGAAGCTTCATGTTTATAATTTACTTAAGCCATACATTTGCATATATAGTTATATGGAAAATATATATCTATAGGAGGATAGAAAAGATTGTATTATTAATGAATTGGAGACTAAATATCAAATGAGGTTAACGTACTAATCAAAGGGTAAGGAAGAAAATAATTTATGGGTCAGATATGAAGAAAAATTACAAACATAAAGGTCATAATAATAAACTGAAATAATCAAGCAAACTTATATAAGGTAATAATAATTTAAAAAAACCCAACAATAATCAAACAAAAGTGAAGAAGAAAGGAAATAAAAACCCGAGACATACCCATTAGGGGAATTAGGGCCAAGGAAGGATGAGAGGTTGGACGAATCGTTTCTGCACGCAAAGTTCAGGCTTGAGTTCGTGAGTTGCCAATGCCTCAGCTGTGCATAAAATATTGAGTCGACACCCATTCGATCCAATTCCTTTGACTCTGTAGATTACTTTAAAAGAAGAATCCTTTAAAGCGATGTGTCCATAGTTGATTAAATGCTCCTGTATAGAACTAGTAATTGTTTTACATTCTCCTTTTAAAAGCCAGGTCGAATAGTGTTCTGAGTTGCGTTTGGAAAGTGATCGCTTTGTGCGGCTAATTTAACATGCCCAAGATGAGCATGTAAATTTACGGATACACATTGACGTGGCCCAAAGTGGAAGTTTATCATTAACACATCCATGAATGGCCGGCTTGAGAAAACAATTCGGAGCTTAGCTGCCTAGAACGTTTTATTCAATGATTTTGAAATCCGTTTAAGATTTCCGCAGCCATGTCTCCCTTAAATTCCATATTCATAAACAAGGTTTTCTTTTCTACTGTCGATGTTTTTTCATGATGAAGTCTAGGTGTTAAGTTGCTATCGAGGAATCTAGGTGAATAACCATTTCTAATGAGAGTCTGTCGAAATTGAAATACCCACTTACTTACTTATGCTTGTTACTCCCAATGGAGTATAGGCCGCCGACCAGCATTCTCCAACGCATTCTGTCCCACAATTCCTTCCTTTCCAGTTCTATCCAATTTTTGTTCATTCTTCTCATGTCCGTCTCCATTTTCTGGCGTAATGTGTTCTTTGGTCCTCCTCTTTTCCTTTGGCCTTGAGGATTCCATGTGAGGGCTTGCCTCGTGACGCAGTTGGGTGCTTTCCTCAATGTGTGTCCTATCCACTTCCGGCGCTTCTTCCTGATTTCTTCCTCCGCTGAGATCTTGTTTGTTTTCTCACATAGTAGGTTGTTGCTAATAGTGTCCGGCCAACGGATCCGAAGTATTTTGCGTAGACAACTGTTAATAAACACTTGTATTTTCTGGATGATGGCTTTCGTAGTTCTCCAGGTTTCTGCCCCACACAGTAGAACTGTCTTGACATTTGTATTGAAAATCTTGACCCTGGTGTTGGTTGACAACTGTTTTGAGTTCCAGATGTTCTTCAGTTGTAAATATGTTACTCTTGCTTTGCCGATTCGCTCCTTCACATTTGCATCAGATTCACCGTGTTCATCAATGATTCTGCCCAGATATGGTCGTTCTCGTTTACGGTAATTTCCAGACAGTTTCTTTGTTGTATCACACAGTTGTCTCATGTTTCCTTCTCTTGCAGCCTTTTCCGCCGCCATTGCTAAATCCTCCACATATTTACGTTTTTCGGTTCTGATGCTCCTCTTCACTAGCTTGTTTACTTCTGTGTATTCAGCTTGTGCCTTGGCTTTTTCTGCTCTTGTTCGGCTGGTATTGATTACTGCCTTCTTGTTCCTGCCTTCTTGAATCTTATCCAGTGTATCAACAGTGATCCATTTCTTGTGATGGTGCTTCTTGTGACCCAGGACCTCATGACATGTTGAAGTGATTGCCTCTTTTATCCCTTTCCAGTTTCTCTCCATAGTAGTTCCCTCTCCATTGAGTAGATCATGAAAGGCCTGGAACATTTTGCTAAGGACTATCTTAAATTTGTTGAGTTTGTCAGTATCCCGAAGAAAAGCTGTATTAAACTTTTGTGATGTTGTCCGCCTCGTTGTCCAGTGCTTCTTGAGTTTCGATTTCAGCTTGACGGCCAGCAAGTGATGATCTGATGCTATATCAGCTCCTCTCCTGGTTCTCACATCCTCCATCGTCCTCCTGAACTTTTTATTGATGCAAATATGGTCGATTTGGTTTTGCGTGGTGTGATCCGGTGAAGTCCATGTGGTTTTGTGTATGCGTTTATATGACAATATGGTGCCGCCTATGACCAGTTTATTGAAGGCACATAGGTTTGCAAATCTCTCACCATTTTCGTTCCTTTCTCCCAGTCCGTGTCGTCCCATGATGTCTTGATATCCGGTGTTGTCCATTCAAACCTTGGCATTTAGGTGGGTCTCCCACCAGGGTGGTCAGGTCCTTTATTGGGCACTTCTCGATGATTGATTGCAGCCTATTGTAGAATCGATCTTTAAAGTCTTCATTGTAGTCGTTGGTAGGCGCATAGCATTGGATGATATTCATTGAAATGCCCTCTTTCTTTGTTTTGAAGGAGGCTTTGATGATCCTTGGTCCATGAGATCCCATCCTATAAGTGCATTTTGTGCTTGTTTTGATAGCATCAATGTAACGCCTTGTGTATATGGGGCATTTTCTTCTTCATGGTCGGCGTATAACAGAAGCTCTTCTGAAGTTAGTCGTTGTTGTCTAACTTGCATTCAATGTGTTTCACTGGTACCAAGCAACTCCAGGTTGTATCTCCTCATTTCTGCAGCAATTTGGAAGGCTCTCCCGGTCCCCCACACTGTACGAGCATTCCATGTACTCAAATAAATGGTCGCTCTGGTTGTCAGAAGGGGCATCGGCCTCGTAACTTCCGAAGGAACTCGGCTTCCATCATGAGGTGTCATAACTCTTCTAAATGAAGACCTTCTGACTCCCAGAGCAGAGTTTAAAAGGTTTGAACAATTTTTTCTGGTTAGCGTTTTCTAGCGAGTCAGTTTTATACGGGATGGGGTCGCTAACCTCATGCCCAACCCTTCTCCTTTTTCTGGGCTTCGGACCGGCAGTAGCCCCCGGAGGGTCCCCAGGCTGAACTTGAAATAGTTTCTCACCAATCGTGTTAGTGGAACATATTCTCTTGATCGTTGAGGATAAAAAGTGAATCAAGTTCCTCTTTCTGCTCAATGAGATCCAGCCATGGAAATTTGTGTATCACCCATTCCACTAAGTTTCTTATTTGTTTACTATCTTAAAAAAATCCTGTTTTTATTCTAATTTATTTTTTTTTGTTTAGGTCTAAATTCTTATCAAATGATTGGATGTTTAGTCGAGGATACATGAACTTTCCTCTTGGTGATGCATTTCGAAATAAGTAAGCATATAGTTATGAGGATAAGTGTAGCCAAATGATAAATTATATATTGAGTGTATCATAAAAATTCTTCAAGAATGTAAAATACTTTAACATGTATAAAGAAGTTAGATGTAGTTTTATTTAACTACATCTGAAATTTCATTCTACTACGGTAGTCAACTTAGTATTTCTTGTACACGGACTTAGAGAGTATCGAATACATTTGGTTAATTTTGGGCTTATTCACCAATCGAAATACGATTTATCCAATCTTAGTACTGTGCTAAACGATTGACATTCGACCGGTATGAGTAGCCTAGCGTCCTTATTGGTCCTTTGCTCACCTAGCCCGTCCAGTTGAGTACAGAACACCAATAACAGCTTCCATCATGAGAATTATTTATTTCAAACATACTTGGTTTATATACCAGTCAAACAGACCATATTATATCACAAAATGGAAAATAACAATTACACACGATCAAGCCAAAAAGTGACTGTGAATGTGGGAGACTGTAATCAATAAACTGAACATAACTTAAAAACAGTAAACCGTATAATAATAATCTATAGGTCAAAATGAAGCTTATAGTAAGTGGGATATAGATAAACACAATCTAGTTACTGAATATATATATATATATATATATATATATATATTATCAGTCCATTTATAGTTATCGGAAGTTACTCGTAATTTAATCTTCACTAGGATATAATAGAACCCCTTTTCTTGTTCAGCTTAATGAGCTTGTATCACATTTTCAGTAAGTAATGTTTGGCAAAGTTCTCAAAATTAAAACACTACTTGTATGAAATCTACCAGTTTGTTAGCGGAATATGGACTGGATTAAAGAACGTCCCGTGCACGATTGTGTTTTTGCACGCTGATTGGCTATTTCTTATCCAATCAACGTTAGCGGATGCTTGGAGAAGACTGTAGAATCTTTTGTTTAAACTATGGATATACTTACATTATTCTTATTGTGCTTCTTACTTCCATCTACCCTTGTTATTTGGAATATAATTTCGTTCCTGTTCAACTGTGTCCTGATTTAGGGACTTGTTGAGTGAAGTAGTGTCCAAGACTACTAAGTAATAGGAATAGCTGGGTCGTAATAGGAGAAATTATAACACTGTTTATATCTTGTTTTGTATTCACAAGGGTTTTTTTCTTTAAAATATTCTTGATTTGATTAATTTGACTGTTTACATTGTATCCTGTTATTATATATCTTTCTGTCAAGTTGGATTAATGATACATTAGATGAATTAATTGCTGGTCTTCCAAAAACAGTTAGAATTACTAGTGAATATACAGTAAAAGATGCTTCGAACTTAATTAAAACGGAGAATGTAAGGGGATTGTTGGTGGTAGAAAATAATGGAACAAAGTAAGCACTTTACTTTTAGTTCTGTATTTCAAAACAATTATCTTTAAAATGATTCATTCATCCTGTTCATTTCTTCATTTAAAACAAGCTATAAGTATGAGAACAAATCTATTTTTATTACTTATCAGTTTGTACCTATACAATGATTGAGTACTGACTTATGAAGTCTAGATTGCTAGCATTCAGAATATTAAGCGGGATGAGTGAAAGAATAGGAACAAAGGAGTACTATATCTACTGTATCTTTAATCTACAGATTAGTTATTTTCATAACCACTTTTAACACAGTATTTAAATTTTCTTCATGAGATGTAAAGGATTGATCGTATGTAGTTGTAAGAGTGGTCGACTAATAGTGAAGTTAGGGGTAAGGAACTGTATAAAAATTGGAAATCCACCAATTTTTAGTGAACCTTTATCAACTAAGGTAGTTAAGACGTATATTTCTCATCTCTAACCCCTGCCTACTATTATTGTTTGATGGTAGTTAATATTACTATAGGCTGTGGAAAAGCTGTGGCGGCCAGATCAAACCATGGTGCGGGTCAGTGAAGTCACTTGCCGCTTGTCTAAACCATATCTTTATGTTCTGTCCACCTGGTTACGGTTCGTGAAATATTCATCATTTATGTTTGTAAACGTCGAATAACATAATGTATAATCAGTTCTAGTGTAGTGAGCAAGAACACAAGTGGGGGCAATCGAATGTATTTAAGCACAAAATTACAGAATCCCTAAGTAAAATCTGAGAACCATACAGTAAATTCTTCATTTACAAAATATCAATCAATCGTCTCAGACTTCACTGTTCCTTCGTATCTACACCAATCACTCTCTGTTCATGTTATTTCCTCTTCGATCTTCTTAACCTCCTACTAGCAGGGATTTCACTTTCGATTAGTGATACATACTACTTATATCTGCCAGTATCAGTAACACACACCACATCATTATCATATTATTTAAAGATAAAATTATTGAGGAAATCAACTGAAATAATATTCTTTATTGAATTTAATGTCTTCAAAATTGTAACATGCATAGTAAAACACGCATTCTATTTCGTTTACTGTCAGTGACTAGATTATACTCTAGTGGTTATCACTTTGCGTTGCCGACATTTTTGAACCATCTTATATTAATGGAATAGAATAACATCAATATTATTTACTCTAAAGCTTATAGAGAGAAATTCCAGTTTCTGAGGGAAATTAAAGATTATTGACACTAACAATGCTTTAATTTTAAGAGTATTGAAAATATGAAGTTTTCATGAAAACTTTACTATCGATTACTTCCAACCTTCAATCCTTGAAATAAATTGATTTTAGTCTTCAAATTGTTGAACTTGAAGTTATAATCACTTTTGTTTAGGAAATAAAAATTCATAATCCATATGAAAGTTTAATCAGTTTACTTGTTTTAATAATATATTATCCGTCTATAAAAAACTGATTATATGACGGTAACTTATCTGCTTTAGTAAACACCATTTAAGTCTAGTTAACTGGGCTATTTTCAGTTGTAGAGCTGTGGAGATTATTGAATTTCATTGAAATCATGAAATGATCAAAGTTGGGCCATAGTCGAGAACCTGGAAGGACTGTATGGCTGTTTTGTTCTAGTACGAGCCTCTTTAGCCTCGAGAAGTAGTGACTAGTAGAGTTAATCTGTGTCGGTTGTTAGGCAGTAACACATCGAAGACAATGCAAGGTGATCACGCAATGTCGTTAGCTGGGATATTGCTTTCACTCAGTTTGACTTTCGCACCACAAAAATAGACTGTTCATGTTTAACTTATTGTTAACCATGTTATAAACACGTAGATTGTAACTTGAATGTCATGTACTCGAGAAATAATAGCTGATTCTCTGTTTTTTGTCCACAGACTTTGCGTTCTTGGTGTATTTGATTCAAATGTTCTAAGACTATTATTCAGTGGATCTGTTAAACCGACTGATCTTGTTGTCAAAGCGATGAATAAAAATTATCGACAAGTAAGTTTCTAAAGTACATGTTATGTCATCAAGCTTTGAGTCTATATTATCTTAATCAGTATCACATGTGTTTCCGTACATGCTTTCTCTGACGAATTTACGTGAAATGATATTACATTCAGTGCATAAATCACAAAACGTCCCATAGAATAACTCCTGTGAACAACTACTTACAGATAGAATTACGACTAAGTTTCTGAAAAACCAATACATAGAATAAAGAATGACTTGAATACCGTACAGTTAGAATTTAAAAGACGACACAACACGCTGCAGTTTACAGGCTGATAGGATGTTGTTGACTGACTTACAGATCGAGTTCATATGAACACTTAAGTGGTTATCTCATTGTATGTATACGTCTGAACTAATTATCAATATATTCCATACATAATTTATATGTTCAAAAGATTATTAATTAGTAGAAAAACAATTGTCTTGTTGAAAGTTTAAAACATCAAAATACATAAAAATAAGAAAAAGATATACTTGAAAGATGTTTCTGAAGAACAGTTAGGTTATTTATTGATATCTATAGTGTTTAGTCTATAGAATAGATTTCCATGTTTTTGAAATCATTATATATGCTTCATGACATATTTTCTATTTGAAATATACTGTGATATGACATACTGTTATGGCTTTAAGTTGAGTCGATTTTTACCCTGTGCTAATTGTTGTGTCCTTGACTGGAAAATTAGAGAGCAGCGTACTTATCGATCGATTACAGTGACACGTAAACACGAACGGACGGCCTAGAGTCTCGATTGGTCTCGCTTCCCTGTTTAGCCCAGTCAGTTGAGTCCAGAAGACAAGCCACAGCCTCGGATATATGAATCATTATATTTCAAACATACTCTATTTATATACTAACCAAGCATACCACATCGTACCATAAAATAGAAAACAACATTTTGTACAATATTCAACAAGTGAACAGATATCGACCAATAGGAAATGTCCATTTAAAGTCCAAGGACACCATTGGACTTAACATGATAATTATTGGTCTATTCCTCCGCATCCACAACACATACATAGTTATGTATTTTCTGTTCAAATACATACACATTATAGTATTCATCATTAAGTCCTATTTTTGTTTAAGCTTGAATAAGTTATCTCATCTGCGGGATTGCGTAGATTCCTTTTCCTATTGAAGATATCTCTCAATTGCTCTTACATTGGAGATAATCAAAATGTACAAAACAACATATACTAATCAAAACTGTGCTTTTTAAGGATTAATGTACAATGAAGAACTGATCTTAGCGAGATCACCATTGAAAACTTAGAAACACAGGATACACGTATCGTTCTAGTATGGAACTCCCCGACAGTGCTTATTCACGACCCCGCAGCCAGAAATCAAACCCAAGATCTTTTGTTTCACATGTAAACGCTTAACATCTAGACCACTGAGCAGGCATCCAACGGTGTTAATATCTTGCTTCAACCAATTTAAAACCTTTAGCAATTCTCATCCGTTGCTTGGATTGGATAACCGTCTTCCATCCGGCATGGATTCAACTCCATAGGTTACGGCATCTCACTAGAACTCCGGTTGCATCTTAATACTGCTCACTAATGCAATAGTCTCATACTGAGACGAAACTGCCGCTCAGTGCTTCCAGGTTTTTGTGATGGTCTAATCAAGATCAGTACATGATTTAAACTATGAAAATTTTACAATCTTCACAAATTCCCTATACTGATAATCACCAATGCGGTTGGATTTAATTACTCTTTCAAGAAACCAACAATTTTGTCTTATCATTTCCTCCTTTACAAAAAGATCTTAAAACTATATTTCTGGGTCAACACTGATAATTTATTTATTTCTAACAAAACATTATGTTATCTGACGAATCTACTTGTTTTTTTGAAATTATTAATTCAGGTTGAGGAAGTACATGGGCTTGATCGTGTTTCTCGCGAACTCACCATTGAATCATATGTTGTTCTGTGGAATAAAGAAAGTAAGGTGAAACCTTTCCAGTGATTATGTATAATTTTGTTTTCAGTGTATGATTTTATTGTTGTCTGTTAATCACTTTTCAATCTTCTTTTCCATTTCGTTTACCTCGAGCCAATAAAACAAGAATTTTTTGACAACGCTCCTATCAAAGTATTTGATTCTTGACAAATTTTGCACATATTTTGTTTCTACTCACGAATGTGTAGAAAGTTCAGTGCTCTGCAAACATAAATCGGATTACATTGAATTAAAACTCAACAATTACCACAAACATATACTGATAATTATCATGTGCTCACTAGTGACCAGCTTCAAAAGGTGATTCTCGAAGTACTAGTGAGAGTCTGTGACCAGTGGAGTTTAGACGTGCTGGGTATGAGACAGTTACCAATGAAGACAATGAAGGATGATCGCACAATATCGTATATTGATTAAAGTCAGACATTAACAGCGCTGGATACTGGCTGAGTGGTCTAAAGGCTAAGCGTTTGCACACAAAACCGAAGATCCTGGGTTTGAGTCACGCGTGAGGAGATCGCGGATATGCACTGCTGAGGAGTCACATACTAGGAAGAAATGGCTGCCTAATGCTTGCAGGTTTTCAATGGTGGTCTGACATTAATCGGTTCATGAGCTCAATTTAAACCCAAAAATTTTGCCAGCCTTATGATGATGTTTAAAAATGTCAAATCATAATTTTCCTAAAGCACCGTACTGATTCATCATCTAAATCCGATACGAAACCGCCTCTTCAATCGACTTCAACGTAAAGCATACGAGTCAGTGTTTAAATTTCAAAAGAAGTAGTGTAACGCGTATATCAGTGAGTCATCTACAAGGTGTTGTATAATACACGGTTGATTTAACTACCTAATGTTTCATTTATTAGACACCTGGCTGTAATTAACTAAGTTTCATGTTTGATTAAATGAGGTACATCTCAGCAAACTCAATAGTACTCTCTAGTTGTAGTATAATCAACAACTTTAGATTCGCTGCATGAAAAATTTATTCCTGCTCTATAATAATAACTACAAAGTTCTTACTTCATAACATCATATCTGATACGGTCTCATTAATAGTGGATTAGCAATTGCCAAACACTCTTTTTATTGACTGCTTCAAATCCACATGTTTCATAAACAATTATCTACTTGTTTACATTTTTTCTGTTGAAACCTAGACCCTTATTTAGTATGTCGTGAAGATTTTCTTCATTGGTCCCTATTTAAACAGTAGCGAGTTTGTTCATGAAGAAAAAGCACAAGTAAACAATACTAAATCAACTTGTTTATCTTCGAATTCATTTTTACCCAGCTTTTTCTTATAGAAATAAATAGCTTAGAGATAAAAAGATATGTTTTATTGAGAACATTAAATAAACTGTTGTAGTTAAACAGCGTTTGTTTATTTGAGGTTAGATCAGTGTTCAATTATTGAAGAAGTAGGGAATGTACGCGCATATATACAAATGGTCTTCCATTGTTACAGGTTACACTGTAATATGGACAAGTCACTATTCGGAAGTGATTGTTACATCTTGTTGTTTGGTATTTAAAAACATATTAAAATGATGGATTTGATTTAAAAAGTGTGATTTATTTAGGTAATGAAAATGGTTCAAATCAACTTGATCTTCTCATTACAAAATTGAAGTTTTTAAAAGGTACCAAATGTTCTAATAGTGAATATATCATTAATCAAAACGGATTAATAGTTGTTACGATTAATATGAAAGTGCGGTATATTGAGGAATCATCTTTCCTTTATTCCATGTAATACTATCGTCACCATAATTTTTTTCTGAGACTTGTTTATAAATCCATTTGTAAAGGAAAAACATCTACCCTGTTGATAATCACTAGTATTTGTTTCTTAACAATAAATTGGCAACAATGGGACGTATGACCAAAGAATTATAAATTGAGAGTGCAGAAGATGTTATACTACTTAGAGTGTTGATTGTACAATTGAGATGATGGATAAATTTCAAAACAAAAATAAACGTTTGGAAAAGCATCAGTGATGAGATTTGTACTCATTCTTATTTATTTCTACCATGGACATCTCGTTAAATGTCCCATTCAATATAACTAAATTTTGATGAAAAGAGTAATTGTAGACACAGAAAATCCTGAAGATAGCTTTTAACTATCTGAAGGAGTTTTCATGTTTATTAATCTGAAGTTCAAATGACTTCATGAATGCTTACATGATAATAACGGTAATAGCGATATTAAATTGAAGCATTTCAGCTGTCTTTTTTATTTGTATGCTATTCACTGTGTAATTCTGTATAAATGGCTTTCCAGTGATTTATCTTAATGTCAAAACGTGATGATTCTCCATCGTAAGCTAGGAAATGAAAATCTAAATTTACAGCAGTACAGAAATCTATTCAGGTTTGAACGGAGTGAAATTCATAGGTTCACAGATTTCTGGCCTGTTAATAACCACGTAAATTAGAATAGAAATACGGCGATTTACTCACCTGATGACATAAAAAAAATCATCGGTGAGGCTAAATACTTATGTACATGAAAGTGAGATTTAAATATGCGGTAAAGGATTGTAATTAAATTAATTGTGTTATGTTGGGGTGATCCAAAAAACTTCTTGCAAAAGATAAGAAAGGCTCGGGAAACACTAAGGAGCATTTTGTCCAATCAGCATTCACTAGAAGTGTAGCCAGAAACATCAAGAAAGTGGAAAGTCACATGTAGAGTTTCTGATTTGCTGATTACTATGTTGCTACTGTGTTTAGTAGCATTCCAGAATCTTCGGGAAACCTAAGGACTTCTAAAATACTATAAAAACCATATATTTTCTGTACTAGAATGAACCTTTGGAGTAAAGTACTTCCCGCATATTTTGCGCCTTTTCTCTCGTATTTAGGTCGTGGTGTAGTTCTAGTTTGGGGGTTACGAGAATAACTTAGGAACCGAATATAGCGTTCAATCAGCAAGACTTATCATTTAAACTACAATGTATTATTAGGTCATAAACTATAAACTAGGAAGTCTTCTACTTATCAGCTAATTAAAGTGTTGCACCTAGAAGAACTAGGAATAATTGAGACATTAAGACCTACCATTATTATAAGTGTTTCATAGTCTATGAGAACTGCTTGGTCCTCCCATTATCAGATTATTGTAGCAGATGTTAGCGTTAAGCTTTTTGTAACGGAAAAAGGACAGTGAAAATCCCTCTGCAGCTTCTTTGTTGAACAGTATTTTCATTTATTTGTTCCTTCTCCCTTTTGTGTATTCCAACCTTTGTTTCGATCTCGTTTAACCATATTTTTTGTTCTTCAGTCTTCCTCGTTTGAGCCTTTATTATGTGATTTTGATTAAAGACTTATTTTTGGTTACCTAATTTTCTATTGCATGTTGCCGGACCATTGACAGTAAGGTTGTGTTTGACTAAGCTCAAGGTCACGGCGTGGTTCAGTTTGTGACTTAACCTTCTGACTGTCTGCTTGGGAGAATTGCTGCAATCCCTGCAGATAGATATTTGATCCCATCTGATTGGGAATATTTGTATTGATTCTCAGGTATCAAACCCTTTAGTATTAACTGTCTCTTTCATTGTTTAGCGCGCTACTTTGCGTTAGAGAAACTTCTGACTGTATAGCACAGGCTGTACCGTTTGAGGTATTTTGTATTTTTGATGTAATTTGTTCTGTTTTCTTAATTAGAACCGTTTATATTGAGCACAGAGTTTGTGTTTTGATATAATATAATACGAGTATCTCAAAGACGCATTGTGGGCTATACAGAGGAACTTGGTCTGGTCTAATCGAATAAATTTTGGGTTCGTCAGTCTGTTGTTCCAACCGAATATTGGCTGTTCGGTCGCCACAGTTCTCAAACGAACTGTAATCTCAAGTGACAAATTCCGGAATGCCTGGAAAGCTCAATAAGGTCAACGAAAACTTGGCATTGGGCCACGGAGAAATGCAATTGGATACACCTCCAGAGGTACGGCAAGTCAAATTAGATGCATTTTCATGTCATGGCTCTAATGTTAGTTTATTAAGTAGACGTAGTAAAGTTAGCCCTAGAATTACCTTAGCAGAGTTAAAAGAAAGGCAATTATTAGAAATGAGGGACTTGAAAGATAGACAGAGGAAACAACTACTGTGCTTTCAGAGAGAGTTTGGGTCGTTAAGGCTGAACGAAAGCACGTGTAGCAAGTTATCTTCTGTTTCTAACAGTGATGACAGAGAAAAGGAGTACGTTCACAGGTTCGTAAGTCCTTCCCCTGACCTTAGGATAAAGTCTCTAGAAAAGTCGAAACTGTTAGATTATCCAGGAACGAAGGAGAAAGTGACTTTGGAATCTCTAAGTGTAGGTCATGAACTTCCAACAGTAGAGCGCGATGCCTACTTCGATGAAAGTTGCAATATTGTTCCTTTACCTAGAGGAGTGGCTGAGGAAGACATTGCTACCCCTGTTATTTGCAATGAGTCTGGTATGTGTAAAGCTGGCTTCACCAAAAATGATGCTCCCAGAGCCGTATTACTCCCTATTGTTGGAAGAACTAGACATCAAGTAGTGACTGTGGGAATGGATGGAAAGGACAGTCATGTGGGAGACGATGCTCGATCGAAACGTGTTATCCTGACACTGAAGTACCGAATTGAACATGGTATTGCGACTAAGTGGGGTGATATGGGGAAGATGTGGTACCACACATTCTACAAAGGGTTGCGAGTGGCAACAGAGAAACATCCGAGGTTGTTGAGAGCAGTTTCATTGAACCCGAAGGCAAACTGTGAGATGACAAGGATCATGTTTGAGACTTTTAATACACCAGGTACGTGTGCTGCTACTCAGACGATGTTGTCGCGATGTACATCTGATCGTACAACTGGTATAGTGTTGGACTTAGGTGATGGTGTGACCCACACAGTTCCGATTTATGAAGATTATGCGTTGCCTTATACTGTTTTGCGATTGGACTTTGCTGGTAGGGTTCTTGCCGACTTTAGGATGAAGATCCTGACTAAGACAGGTTGCAGTTCCTCTGTCTATTCGTGGAACATACTCAGGCGCAAACCACCGGACATCATTTTACTCTATAGTAAGTCTAGAATGGCACCTATAAAACAGGTAGCTGTGCCTAGACTGGAACTAACAGCGGCAGTATTGAGTGCTGGAATGGAGGAAGTTTTAAATAAGAACCTTCCTCATGTGTTTGACAAGACTCACTTCTGGACGTATTCTGTGATAGTACTGTACTATATAAAAAATACAGATAGTAGGTATTCCACCTTCGTGGCTAATTGTCTGGCCGCTATTCGTCATTTAACATCTGTAGACCAGTGGGGGCACGTAGAATCCAATGAAAATCCTGCTGACTGGACATCACGAGGCATACGGAAGGAGCTAGATTTAAAGAACTGGATTGAGGGTCCTTCCTTCTTAAGGAAGAGGGAGTCTGTAGGAACACTAACGCTTATGTGCGAAAACCCCCTAGAAAATGTTGAATTTAAAAGATGTCACACGACCAACGCAGTTGCGAAAAAACATAGCTTAAGTCCAATTCTGCTATATCACTCAAATTGGATAAAGCTGATTAAAGCGGTAGCATGGCTCAGAAGATACGTGACCTATATAACCATCATGTACTCCCGTCACAATGACAGGTCCCTAAATCTGGGCTATCTGTCAGTTGATGAATTGGATGCAGCTAAACACAAGGTATTAGACTTAGTGCAAAAGGAAGTGTATGGGGAGGCAGTAAAAGTGTCTCGATGCAATGGCGTAAGCGCAACTGATATAAAAGAGCTAACAAATCTTTCACCTACGCTAATCGATGGATTGCTTTGTGTCGGCGGACGACTAAATTACTCGGATTATCCACTCTCAATCAGACATCCGGTAATTTTACCCAGTCATCACTTCGTAACAGAACTTATTATTAGACACCATCACCACTTAGAAGGTCACACCGGGACATTACAAGTGTTAGCTACCATACCACGAAATTATTGGATTGTTAAAGGAGCCAGTGCAGTTAAACGAGTAATAGGTAGATGTGTGAGGTGTATACGCGCGAAGGCCACATTAGGCCAACAGATGATGGCACCTCTCCCCAAGTGTCGAGTGCAGCAAGGCTGGTTTTGCTTCTCCTCCGTCGGGATAGACTACTTTGGGCCGTTGATAGTTCGTCGGGGAAGAAGTGAGGAAAAAGGATATGGATGCCTATTTACGTGTCTCCAAACACGTGCCGTA